TAATAATAACCAAAAGCTTAACAATCTGGAAGCGCTTTATGTAAGAAAATTGCGCCACAAAATAAATAAATCAAATTCCGAGTATAGCAACAGATTTGTTAAATGTTTGTAGCATCAAAGTAAAAAAATTACTAAATTAAATACTACGAGGAAAAAATATTTTTAAATAATCGCATAATTTACCTTCCTTGCCTAGCGGCGAAAAAAATTTGAATGTGCGCTGTTAAAGCATAACACATCCACAGATATGCAAGCCCTGAAGATGGTGTCAGATGAGATTGAAAGTATGTCAGAAAATAAAAATTATTTGAAAGAAAATATTGAAAGTTTCTTGATGAATTTTCTATAGCTACCAAGAAAATAATTTGTGGGCTTGAAATGATTAAAACTAAAATACTTTGATATAATACGTCTAAATTATTTAAGCAAACATGATTCAATAAAAATATGTGGCTTATATATATATATATATATATATAAGCATATAAAATCTACTTTTGTTTTATAATTGCTTGTAGATTTAATAATCAACAGTTGTGTCTCGTTACATTTTATTCTTGTAAGTACTTTACAGACCTTTATGTTCACTAAGATAATATTGCTAGAATATGTGTAGGTTTAAGTATGCATATGTATATATATATATATATATATGCGTGTGTGTTTTTATATGCGTATATATGTATGTGTATGTGTGTGTGTATATATATATATATACATATATTTAGCTTATTTATATTTTTATGTTACTGCGTAGGTTGATATATTTATATTTATTTCTATGTGCGTATATATGCGTATGTATGTTTATGTGTAGGTATATATGTATATGGGTATAAGTGTATGTATATGTTTGCGCGTAGGTATACTTTTGTATGTTTCAATCTGTTGTGAAGAATGTGTGTACACATACGTCTGTATGTATTTTTATTTTTTTTATATATTTTTGTATATTGTTATATATATATATATATATATATATATATATATATATATATATATGAAAATATATAGAAAATAGGAAGGAACTGGTTAGGTAAATAATCCAGTCCCTTACTATTTTAGTTATTATTTTTTAAAAATAGTGCTCGATACAAAAGTAGAGCATAAATATAATTATTTATTTAAAAATATGATTCCAAATCACTACATAAGAGGTCTCAATTTTCAAAACAAGAGCCGAAAACTTCAATATAATCCTTTAAATTAAATTGAGTTGAAAGTAAAATGGGCTCCGTTCCATCTTCAAGCGAAATTTTTGTTGGAATAACGTATATCTGAAATTTACTTGTTTTAAAATTGAAATCAAAATCCCCATGGTAACAGCTAGGGTGAATTGTCTAAATTGGGTAGGCGAGTGTAGGGTGTTTTTTTATATGCACAATTCCCTTTCATAAAAAAATAAAATAAAATGAAATAAATAAATCTCCATAGACAAGCAAACTAGACGATGGCTAATACATCTTCCGTTTCATTTTTGGCACCCCCACCTTTCCCCGACTTGACACCTTGAAAGTATCTCTATATCGCTACTTATTATAAACACCCTACACTCGCCTACCCAATTTAGACAATTCACCCTAGCTGTTACCATGGGGATTTTGATTTCAATTTTAAAACAAGTAAATTTCAGATATACGTTATTCCAACAAAAATTTCGCTTGAAGATGGAACGGAGCCCATTTTACTTTCAACTCAATTTAATTTAAAGGATTATATTGTTTTCGGCTCTTGTTTTTTGAGCTCTTGTTTTGAAAATTGAGAAATAATTATATATATATATATATTATATAATATATATTTTTATATAAATATATATATATATATATATATATATATATTTCTGATATTTTAGATAGTGTTATTTTTATGCGTATAATTTTTTCTATCCATTTATATATTTTAACGTCCTTTCTACTTATGTTGTTCATTGATGTATATTTGTTATTCTATTCCAGCCATATTAAACTTTGTCTATTCAACCATTTTTATCTATATATCTTTACCCGTATAAGTTATATTTTAATAGTATGTTAAAATTCGTGTACTAACACTTTCAAATTTGAATATTTCTTGGGGGTATATATGCGTGTCTTTATCAATGTATGTGTGCATAATCGCTTATATGTGCCTTTCATTGTAGGTATATGTTGTCGGGTTTTGTTTTGTTTTTGTTTTTTTAAACGTCGTGGACACCTATTTTCTGTCTCGTCGCTTGCATGTTTATATATCTAAATATGTCTACGTGTTTGTGTATTATAATCTGATTGTGTATGTATTGTTTTTTGCAGGATTTCAACTTCCCTTGTCCATATCTTCACTTCAAATGTATCTAAGTTGTAACGAAGCTCAGAGCAACATTAGATTTTAACGTTTATGCCACAGTAATTTTTGGCCTTTCAATAAAAACAAAATAAATAACAAACGTATTTTTCCTCAGATTCTTCTTTAAATAATTTTATAATTTTTTAAACTTAGTATAGATTAAATTTAAAATTGCTAATTTTTAATTTTATAGTATAATTTAATATTTATTAGTTAGAATGAATTCTATTTTAGTTTATCCCTAACATTAAAGCATTAAATAATTATTATAACCAAAGTTTGTTGTCATGTTTTTTGAATTCTCATATACTTGTATTTTGATTGGTCATTCCAGCTTATGTAATAGCGTTTCCCCTAGTGAGGGGTGTTTGATTGATTTCAAACTTTTAAAACCCTTTATTATATATTCGACACCATCACTTGATAAGACACCAGAAGTGTTGAAAGAAAATGATTATTTTTCTAGTGACTTTATAACAAACTTATGTCATAATTTTCGAATAATTATATATATATATATATAGATGTAGTGAGCCAGACAGAACGAGAGAGAGGGTGATTGGTAATATGTATCAACAGAGTTCTATACAGAGTGAAATAAGTAATTGACGCCATATTATATATTTTTAATTTCGCGCATGCGCATTTACTGTTCTTCACTTTTACAACTGCACAATATATTAGGGTCAGTCGAGCATCTTCTGTATGAAAAGGGACGCCATGACGGAATTCATTCCACAAGAAATTTGAAAACGGCATACTGCACTGCTTGGCATTCACACCGGAAACTCCAATGCGAACATTTCAGAATTTTTGGGTGACAGTCTGAAGACAGTGCCACGGATACGGAAAGAGTTGGATGAGTCTGATTGTGATTACGAAGGTGTTTCGATTGATTACTAGTGATGGTGCTCTTATGACCCCGATTCATCTTCACAGAGCCTCAAAATTAACACGGAGGCCTACATCAAATGCCTTGAGTAGGTAGTGCTGCCATCGGTCAAGATAGTGGCTGGTTGAAGACCCTATGTCTGGCAGCATGACTCTGAACGATGCAACGCTAGCACGAGAACACAGTCATGGCTGTCAGATAATTTCCGTGACCATATCATTCCTTACATCTGGCCACCAAACAACACAGAATGCAACCTCCTTGATTATTATGTATTGGGCGCAGTTGAGCAGCAAAGATAATCTGAAGGCAAGGATTCTGACAGCATTCACCAACTTAAACAAGGAAACCGTCTAGAAGAGTTGCAATAGATTCAGTAGTCTTCTGGTGCCTGTGATTGAAGCCAATGGCGTTTCTATTAAATAAATTTCCTTTTTAATATTCAAGATCTGTTTGTATACTTTTGATAAATACGTCTGCTAAAATGTGATTTCAGTGGGTTTTTTTTATATTTACGTCATTTAGACGACTTGCTATCCATCGCACACTGTATTTATAAATGCTCCATTTGCGACATATTATGCACTTGAAAGCGAAGAACACTTGCGAAGACAATGAATGATATGTATTGTTCATTATTCGCTATAATTTATCCAGCTTCACTTTATATTTAGTCATTTTCTTTTCATAATCTCCACAAAGACAACCAATATGAAAACTTATAAAATGTCACTGCTAAGGATAGAACACAACTTCGCCATGAAACCGAACACACTTAAAAAGCAATTCTCGTGAAATGTCTTCGCGTCTGACCTCAGATGTTGAAAAGACGATGAAGTAAAAAGATTATAGCCATCCTGATTTCCATATATTAGAGTTTGATAGCTTACCTCTTTATCTATATATCGACGTCAAATATTTTTATCTATATTCTCACCTATTGCTTTCACTTTCTATTTTTTTATCTTCATTGTTAGCAGCTTGGAAATTATGCTTTTCAGTATATTAAGTTATTTATATCTCTAAACCTATCATTTTTTTACCAAACACTGCTTTGAACGGCACAATGACCTGTGTACAGCTCTTAGTTAACATTTAGATATTAAGAATTACGATATGTTTTAAAATTCAACTTAATATTTTGATTAGTGTTCGAGTGTTTTTCTTGCAAGAATTATTACTCAATTTGATTAAATCCTTACGCAACTTTTTATGTTTGATTCTATATTTTAATATCGCAAATTGAGTGGAATTTATAATTTTTTTAAATAAAATATAAAATAATGTATTTCGAATCTATTTATATTAATTTTAAGTTTTTCTTTTCTTGTTTTTTTTTTTAGCTGCTTATGCCTCACTGACGTCAGTTGCGGAATTGCTTAAGATTTAGTCAATTTTGAGTACTGTCCGATATAAACGGGTTATTGTCGTAACAGACGACGCAGAATGTGAAATAGTAATCCTCAGGCGTCTGGGAATAACGAAAGATCTCTTCCAGAAATCGAAAAAAGGAACTCATAAAGACTAAAAAAGACAAAATAAATGAGAAAAATAAAGACGAAATGTAATAAAATGTAAAAGAAACGAGGGATAAAAAAAGAAGGAAATCGGAATAAAAAGAAAAAGCAAAGAATGAGCAAAAAGAAAAAAAGAAACGTGAGAAAAAAGAGAAATAATGAAAAAAGAAGGGAAATATGAAAAGAGGGAAGGAAAGGTGTAAAAGGATATTCAGAAAAGATATCGAGAAGAAAAACGAAATCAATAAAGAAAGTTTAAAAAGAAACTATATACGTATAAATGAACTATTAAGTAGTTCATTTATACGTATATAGTTTCTTTTTAAAAGAAGAAAAGGAAGAAAGAAAGAGACAAATGATGTAAAATTAATGAAAGTAAAAACGAAGAACACAAAAGTAAAAAAAGAGAAAAGGAAAAGTGTAAAAAAAGAAAGAAAAGACATCGTGAAGAAAAACGAAACCAATAAAGAAAGATTAAAACGAAAGGATATCCGTAAAAAAAAACTACTTAAGAAAGAAAGAAAGAAAGAAAAAAGGAAGGAAAGAAACAGACAAACGATGTAAAAACAATGGAAGTAAAAACGAAGAACACAAATGTAAAAAAAGAATGAGAAAAGTGTAAAAGAAAGAAAAAATATCGAGAAGAAAAACGAAACCAATAAAGAAAGATTAAAAAGAAAGGATATTCGTAAAAAAAGAACTACTTAAGAAAGAAAGAAAGAAAGAAAGAAGAAACAGACAAACGGTATAAAAACGATGGAAGTAAAAACGAAGAAAATCCCAGAAGTAAAAAATACAATCAAATCTGAATAAAAAAATGAAATCTAAAAATAGAAACGGAAAAAAGGAAAAAATCACTTAGATAAAAAGAAAATGAAGATCGGAAAAAGAAACAGGAAGTAAGACATGAAGTAAGGAAAAACTGAGGAGAAAATGAGAAGAATCAGAAAGAAAGCAAACCAGGGAATACATTAAAAAAAAAAGGGGAAAAAAAAAAGAGTAACTAACATTAGCAAGACATAAAAAAGGGGAAAAGGTTTATAAAAAAAGTCAATGAAAAATAAGAAAAGAAAACCAAAAATAAACAAAAGAAAGGCGTTAAATGGACATGAAGAAATAAATATTGTAAAGCAATGACAACTGACATTTCAACCATCGAATGAAACAAGAGGGTACATTCTGTTGGTATTCTAGTGCCATAAAAGCTGGTTGTGACTGCTAAGTTCTTCACAAAGTTATCTTTGGTATCAGTAAAAATAAAAGGTCAGAGAGCAAGCACCAGTTTGGATGAGACTAGTTTACAATTAAAGCCATACAATAGAAAAAAAATGAAATCCATACAAAAAAGATAATCGGCTAAAAAAAATGTTTCAAAATTAGATAATGGCGGGGCGAGAGTCTTCATCGTTGAAAAAAAAATGGACCTTATTTAGAAAGCGAAGGAACGTGATTAAAATATGAGAAAGAAAGAAAGAAAGAAGGAAAAAGAAAAAAATGCAAATAAAATGATTCGAACAAAGTGAAGGAAAATAAAAAACAATGAAAACGAACAGAAATAAAATAGAAAAGTAAGAAAGAAAGAAATTAACAAAAAAAAACATGGTAAAAAACAGGCAAATGAGAAATGTCGAAACAAACTGAAAAAATAATTTAATTACAAGAAAGAAAGAATGGAAAACTGAGTAAAAATGACAAATACGATTTAAAACAGGCGAAGGAAAATTACTATGAAAAAAAAAAAAGAAAGATTTAAATTAGAAAGAAAAAAGAAAGAAAGAAGGAATGAAGAGGAAATACAAGCATAAACATATTTCGACCCCAGACAATGACTAAAATATGAAAAAGAGCAGAAAGAAAACTGGAAATTAGAAAGAAAGAAAGAAAATAGAAAGAAAGATTTTTTTATTAAAGTACACAAATAAAGGAAATATTTCGATAAAAAATATTCGAAAAAACAAAAATGGAAAAAAGGGAACAAAAAGAAACAAACCAAAAGAAAAAAAAAAGAAAAAAAAATTTTGAAAAGAAAGAATAAAAATCAAGGCAATAACAGAAAATACAGCGAGAGGAAGGAAGGAAGGAAGGAGAGGAAAGAAGGAAGGAATGAAGGAAAAGAAGAAAGGAAGAAAAGGAAGGAAGGAAAGGAAGGAATAACGGAAAGAAAATAAAAGAAAATAAAGAAAAAAGTACAAAAGTAAAATGGAAAAAAAGAAAGAAATCTGTGGGAAAAAGAGAAGAAAAATTGAAAAGTTAAAGAAATGAGAGTGGGTAAAATATAAAAAAAAATGAAAAAAAGAATGAGAAGTGGGCTTAAGTAAAAGTGCTGATAAATGATAAGGTCGAGAGGAAAGACGGAAATGAATGAAATGAAGAACTCTCAAAAGGGAAATATTGAAAGTTACAGAAAAACAGAAAAGAAATATCAATAAAAAAAGAAAACCATTGAAGTAAAAAAAAAAGTGCAAGTCATTGAACAGGAAAATTAGTTTCTTCAGTAGAAAGAAAGAAAGACATGAAGACAGAAATAAAATAAAAGAAAGCAAAAACGAAATAAACAAAGAGGGAAGGTTTACGCTAACCAAATACAACAGATGAGACGAATGAATGAATATCTGTAGAAAACAAGGAGGGGATCGAGGCCAAATTTTAAAGACAAACATTCAAAGAAAGAAATGAAGGCAAATTGATACAAATAATCAGGAAAGAAATTAAACGATGAAAAGTGATTAAAAAGAAAATCAAAGACAATAAATATAAAGAACTAAAGCAAAATGTAATGAAAACAAAAACTAAAGAAGAAACACCTGAAAAAGTGGCACTGATGAAGATAAACGTTCTTGTTGTGAAGGTCGACCTTGATTGATTCGAAGCAAAAAAACTGATAAAAACAAACTGAAGGGATTCAATGCTGATGACTTAAGCCAGATAAGAGAAGATAAAACAAGTACGAGATCAATATGTTTAACAGAGATGGAAAATCCCGAGACCAACAACAGTAGACGCTGCGTAAAAATGCGATGGGGATTTGTGATTTAAGCTTGCGCATGCGCACTTATCTCTCTCTTTCACACGCACAGGCAAGCATCTTTTCGACAAGACTTCTGCTCAACACAAACTTAAATCAAAATTTGATTATACGGTGAGGTGCTGTAAATTTATCGGTCTAAGCAAGTAGGATCACGAGACAAATTGTTTGATCATTTGGTAAAAATTTATGTCGATAATTTTTCAGCACCCACTCGTATTGATTTCAAATTTCAATGTTAAAGCGACCCCTATGTGAAGTAATTTTTATGGGTTACTCTCGCGGACTATTGATTTCTAGTGCAGGATTATGGTAAATGACATTAACTTCAAAAATAGTAATTCCCGAACCAAACGTTTAACATGTGGGTAGTTTAATGGATAATAAATAAGAATTTATATCGGAGAGCCGAGTTCAATTCCAGTTCTGTCCATTGTGTTCATTTATGCGCAAATAAGCTTGGAAAAAGTATGAATCTAATCTACCATTATCCAATTATTAAGACTTGTATCACAAAACTATTATTATCACAAAATATCTTACAATCTGAAAATATGGTCTGGCTTTAAATAACCTGCAAGGGGTTGATAAGCTGTAGAAAACAAATCAATCCAAAAACAATCGATGACGTATTAGTTACGATGTCTCAACTTAAAAAAAAAAATACCCGTATGTGATTGTGAGTCCATTTTTTTAAATGCTGGAAAAGTTTTAAGCACAAAATGGAAACTAACTCGTAGTATTTGTCCGTTAAGCAATTATATTTAGTCATAAGTATTCCAGAAAACCAGTTCCAAGAAAGATTCCAGAAACGGCATCATAGTCTGATGAAGTGTATATGGGCAAAAAGGAAGTACTATGAAGGTGTCAGCCATCTTTAGTGTCCATAAAAAAAAAAAAAAACTTAACATTAGCAGAGTTACTCCTGGAACACACACACACACACATATATATATATATATATATATATATATATATATATATATATATATATATATATATATATAATTCAATCTTTGGAAAATCGATATTCACCAAATTTGTAATCTAAATCAGGAGTCGGCAATTTCCAATGTCACGCAGCTACAAATTACATCACAAAGTCCTAACCAATAACTACTACAACGCAAAGAAGATATTTAGCTGTTTCAATTTTAATATGTACTATAATTATATTTTAATGCTAACTATAATCTGATAACTATAATCTTCAAATATTCAAGTGTAATGTCAACCAACATCTGATACCTTAATCTTTTCCCTCATCCTTCTCTGTATCGTTTCCTCAAACACGCCTCTTTACTCTTGTTCTCAATCCTCTGTAACCCCTTGCATGCTAGTAGCACTCCGGCCCTAGGTTATTTGGGAGTTGAAAGAAGGGAGGAACAAGATTTCAAAATTATGTGGGTATGTCTGTGTTGACATATCAAAAGCCGGATCAAAGCTAGACCAGAAAGTGAAAAGTTAGGTTGGATTTTAGGTGTAGGTGGTTATTGATTCATGTCTAGATGAATTGACATTTTTAAGGCACGTCACCACAGACGACATCCGGTAACGAATATAAATTTCAGATACAGTGAATTAGACAGCGATATATATATATATATATATATGTGTGTGTGTGTGTGTGTAAGCAAATGTAAATGGATATAGATCCGACAGAATGAAGAAAAATTTGAAAAAAAACAAACAAAAATCCTTAAATGCAATTTATGTTGTTTAAAATGAATGAAATGTCGACGTCTGACGTTTCGGTTTAATAAACCTTTTTCAAGACAATATTCATTAAAATACAATTCAGTTCAATTTGACAAAGACGATGGACATAAACAACAAGTCTTATCCAAAACAGATAACTGAAAATTTTAAAATGATCAGCTTTCCGTTATATATATATATATATATATATATATATTTGAGAACTATCTTAAAGGAGTGTCTAGCGTGATTAAATCATTTATATAAATATTATTTTGAAACCAAAATACAATACTTATTAAGTTGAAAGGCCAATAAATCATATTAAAGTGAAAATTAAAAAAAAACATTATATGGACCATTATATATTAATAAATCAATAGATATATAATTGTAATGAATAGATTTTTATGAAAAATTCTGTTAACTATATTTTGAAGTAAACATTATACAATGCCTACAAACCCTAAGTCGGAATATAGTTTGCAAAACGTGGCCGACCCCTGTACTAAATCGTGTTAATCTTTTTACAAGTTGCAACAAACAATTATGAATTTAGAAATATAATAATTTTGATAGGTAAATAATAGACGGAACATTTATGGACACGGGATCAGTAACTGCCGCACCGACAGACACAGCTTGCTCAAGTCGCTCCACAGTTTAATGGCGTCATTACATTTGCTGAGCAATCGTAATTCACACTCCACTCGCTGTTGCCAGCTCACATTGGGCCGGTGTAAATTACTTTGACATATCGTCTTCAACTTAAGTGCATCATTTAAAATCTTGTGGTGAGTTGCAATACATGATCTAACCAGCCGGGTAGAAGTGTCTGTATATAATGGGCGGTATTTTTCCCAGAACTCTTCATTTAACATATAGTCATTCCGTCATGAGTTTATGCATCGATCTATTGTCAAACGTCTTCATTTTCAAAATAACTGATCGTTTATTCCCCGGTTTCTTAGCCATGAAACATCTTGGTTATCAAATTCAAATTATAGAACAAGTGAGTATTATTTATGTTTTGTCTATAAACGTAAACTGCTTTTCGATACACAGGCAATATATAAATAATGACTGCTTTTTGAAAATAACGTACGTCTTCATTGAAAATTCAGCAGCTGATTCGTTGCCTCATTTTCGAGCCAATCAAATTAAATATGTAGTTACAGGATATTAGGCAATAACTTGTTATCGTTCGCAATATACGATTGTTACCTATTGTTGATCGTGTGCGTCTATCTGGTAATTTACTCGACTGCAGTTAAATCTGAATATTTTCGGGTATGAAAGATTTTCAGAAATTTGCCACCAAAGTTATATCCATATAATTCACACGCTTTCACTAACCTATGGCTATATAATTCATTCGCAGCAAATTATTGCGATATAATTGTTTTACAGAAAATTGTTCTTATATAAATTATTTGTAGCCAGCTGTTTCGATACAAATCATTTCCGCACGCTATTGCTATATAGTTCATTTGCAGTAAACCATTGCTATATAATACATTTCCAACAAACTATTGCAATGTAACTAATGAATAGGTTCGACGCACACACACACACACACACACGCATATATATATATATATATATATATATATATATATATTTGATAGTTGTATATTTAGGCAGCAATCCTTCGTTTATGCATGTTTCATTAAAAACGACAGACAATGTACTACGGTTAAGCTTGTTATTTAATTTTTCTTGTGTTTGAACAAGAGCTTTCTTTTCTGGACAAAAGGTGTGTAAGAACTGTCCAAATGTTTTATGTTTAAATATATATATATTTTATGTTTATATATATATATATATATATATATATATATATATATATATATATATATATATATATCAGTGCGATGGATAAATTTTTGTCTAAATTACGCAAAAATGAAAATAACACTGACACCTGATTTTAACAGTTATATTTAACAAAATTACATACAGATATCTTGAAATGCCATTAACTTCAAACACGGTGCTATATTCAGCCTTTGGTGTTGAGCTAAAAGGAATAACGAGGATTAGTTTTGAACAACATTTATTGTTGGCATGTGGTACAAATATGCTGAAGGATGGGTAGAATGTCCATTTCAGTAGTCCGTTGTCAGGGTAGCGCTCGGGTCTAACAACAACGCAGGGGAGTTAACCTAAACCTTATGTGGGTTTGGTGTGAGTTCAGAGGGTATGGTCGGTGCGGGATTGAGGTCACGGTGGTGGGCTGATTCGCTAGTTGGTAGGTCTCTACTGTAGAACGGGGGTGACGTCCGAATGCCGTACTTCCTAGCCCTGTTCTACGGAACGGTCTCGCACGCGTTGGTGGATTGATGCTTGCGGAGATAGAGTCGCTTATTTTGAGGAACCGTTGTCGTTTCTTTGCGGAGTCGGAGTCGCTTGTCTGTGGATTCTTATTCGCTGATAGCTCCCGGTGCAAATACTAAGCAATACTGCATAAATTCTAAATTTCTGGTGGAGTGAAATTGCGTCATGATGCTCCTTTTCTCACAGATGGTGCCCAGATGACCCCCACTATACTGTGCAATCGACTAACTCAGAAACAAACAACACGAAGCTCGAAATTAAAAATATAAAACAGCCCTAATTTCCCATCACACTCTGTATAAGAATAAAGACAAAAATGAAAACTTATCTTCGCCGAGGCGCTTCATCCTCTGATGGGCTTTATCGAGGCAAATATGGGGATTTTATTTTGCAAGAAGTATTTATAAACAAAAGTGAAAATGTTGTCAATTTTTTAAAATTTTAAATTTAAAAAACGCTCATAAATATTCATCAGGCTCACTGAAAAGTCTATGTAAATTATCCAAATTTATGTGTTATATATTTTAAAGGCGGTCATGTTTTTTTCCCCTTTTTTTCGTCTTTTATGTTTGCTTTAGTGTTAATTCTTTCAGGAATGGA